TTTCATTCCGTTTGGACTCTGTTTGATATTCCTTTTCTGCGAAACACTAAAATAGGCAAAAAAAACAACAATTTGCATTGGGCCTTGGGTTAGTAGGTTAGTCCCAAAAATAGTATAAAAGTGTAAAATAAAGCCCATTAACATCCAAAACAGATAATATAATAGTATGGAACAATAAAAAATTATAGATACATTGGAGACTTATCATAGTCCACCCTCGGGGCTGATGGTTTGTACCAGTAGCTATGTGTTTAATATATCTCTCTCTCGTGATCTATATCATGGGCTTTGTTAGCATAGATGGATCATATGATGTTTCTCCCCTCTATACTCTTGTCGTGATGAATTGAATCTTTACCCTTTGAAGTTTTGTCATGTCGGATTGAATGTTCAGATTTGGGAACACATGATGTATGTCTTGCGGTATGAATACTTGAGGTGACAAATGGGGTATCATATTGATTCACTCAATATACGTTATGGCACTCAACTTGCGGATTCCCGCGATATTGGGGTAATCTATGCATAGGTATTGATGCACGTTTTATTATCCTTTCTCCGATAGAAACTTTGGGGTCTCTTTGTAGTTCTTTGTGTGAATTGAGTATTATGAATATGAATATGCTTTGGTGTTATTCTAGTACGAACTCTAGGATAGACCGAACGGAAAAAAATAGCTTTACGTTATTTTAGTACGAACTCTTGAATAGATCGAGCGGAAAGAATAGCTTTGAGGTGGTCTCGTACCCTACAAACAATTTCTATCTTTTGTTCTCCACTAATAGGAACTCGGGAGTGATTCTTTGTTGCACTTTGAGGGATAATTATATGATCCAACTATGTTGGCATTGTTGAGAGATTGCACTAGCGAAAGTACGGACCCTAGGCCTCATTTCTAAGCATTGCAATACCGTTTTTGTGCTGGTTTACTGTTTGCTACCTTGTTGTTTTTATTTATTCAGTTTATAAAAATATATTTCTACCATCCATATTACACTTTTATTACCATCTCTTCGCCGAACTAGTGCGCCTATACAATTTGCCATTGTATTGGGTGTGTTGGGGACACAAGAGATTTCTTATATTTGGTTGCAGGGTCATTTGAGAGAGACCATCTTCATCCTATCCCTCTCACGGATTGATAAACCTTAGAGCATCTCCAACGGATGCGCCAAAAGACGCGCACGCGGAGTTAACTGGCATTTTAGCGTGCGCGGCAAGTTTTCACGCGCTCCAGCGGAGACGGGAAACTACCGCGTGCGGGAAGCGATTGCGCTCGCGCGGTAGATTTGGCGCGCCGCTTCGCGCGTGCCTATAAAATGCGGCGCTCGCCACGCGCTCCACCACACTGCCACACACCCATCCCCTCGCCACCTCGCCGCTTACACCTCTTCCTCGCCGCTTCCAGCGCCCCGCCACCACCGCGCCACCATGCTGCCGCACCGCCATAGATCTTCAGGCTACCGTGGTGTCTGCGAGCGCCCCAACAGCTGGTACTCCACCGAGATCCGGTCCGGCGACTTCCGGCTCGGCCTCGGTACGTTCCGGACCGCGCACGAGGTGGCCCGTGCGTACGACGTGGCGGCGTGGCGCCTAGAGAGGCCTCCGTCGCAGATGAACTTCCGTGACGTCCACATGCACGGACAGGCGCAGGCTGTCGCCCCTCCGCCTCGTCTGATCACGGACCAGGACCGTGCGAACCACATTCGGCTGCAGCGCCGCCTCCTCGTCGCCGAGGAGGACGAGCGAGCCATGGCGGAGTGGCGCCGACGCCACCCGGCGGACGTCGCCAACGAGCGCGCCTACTGGGCGGAGAGGACAGCAAGGCGCCGCGCAGAGCGGGCGGACCGATGTTGGCGGAAGGCTTTGGCGATATCATTGAAGCAGGTGGGAGGTCGATCTTCACGTCAGACGACGAATGTTGGGAGGATATATGGATCGATACCTTGGACAACACCTCCGAGGATGAGGATGATGATGAGGACTCGGAGCAGTTCTAGCTGCACCGTAGTTTTATCTAGTTGCACCGTAGTTTAATTTTATGTAGTTGCACCGTAGTTCGGTTTTATCTATCTATGCTATGAACTTGTTTATCTATTATGCTATGAACTATGTAAAATATTTTTGTATCGTTTTTTTATATCTATGTGAAATTTATTTTGTGTCCAAAATGCAACAAATATGGATATGCGCGGGGCCCAACAAATATGGGCTCCTTGCGCATGCTGCATTTTAGCGCGCGTGCTGTATTTTAGCGTGGCTGCTGGAGCCAGCGTTGTACGCCGCGCCAAACCTGGCGATGGGCGCGCCGCAAACTACTTTTTAGCGCGCCGCGTGTTCCGCGGCTGTTAGAGATGCTCTTAGGTCATCCACTTGAGGGAAAATTGCTACTGTCCTATAAAACTCTGCGCTTGGAGGCCCAGTACGTGGCTACAAGAATAAAGTTGCGTAGTAGACATCATGCCACTATATATGGAAGGTGATTGCATACTTGTCCTTTGAATGTAGGGTGAATAAAATATATCATCTACTTCATGTCATCATGCTTATTGCAATACTCTATTTTGTTACTTAATATTTTAGGATGCATGTGAGTAGCGGTCTTAAGTGGAGTATTAGCTATAGATGTAGCTGGATAATGGTCTCTAGATGTTTGGCTGTGATGCTCATACGTACTTATGCCATGTATAGTCATAGTCATAAAAACTACAATTTAACCTATGCATAAATGTAGTTTTGTTCACCAAACCATGCCATCTTTTGGGGAGAAACCACTAGTTAACCTATCGATTCCTAGTTCTTCCAACCTCGATCAAACACTCTTTATAATTCTTTTTTCTACTTTTTATTTGCAATCAATCTTTCATACACACTTGCATTTTGTCCTTACACTTAGTTGTTAGACTATGTCCCTCCACATGAAGGTGTGTTGCTAGCCCAACATCAGCCCAAAAGTCCAACATGCGCGAGCTGTTGATCTTCGGTGTATCCAATGGTTGTGAGTGCTTCCTAATGTAGGGAGGCAAGGAGAAAACCCTAGCCACTCCACCCTTGCTGGTGCGTGGCTTCCATTATGAGACTGAGAGAACACACAAGAGCGGAATACAAACCGAGAGAAGAGAGGAAGAAGAAGTGGAGGTTTTGTCCAGATTTGCTGCATCTAGCTAGACGGTGTTCAAACTGGTGATTGGAGGCTCAAACATGCTTGAATTGGCACCAAACTTGATGAGCTCATTCCGTACTTTGATCTGTTTAACTGGTTTGATGATTGGGTCAGTGGAGCATTAGATTTGGGGTGGTTTTGTCACCTCGGATTGCTGCAGTTTCATAACAGAGTAGTTTTGGGAAATGAATAGTTTGGATAGGCAAACAGTGTACGGTTGAGCTGAAATTCTGAGAGGATCTCAGTACCTCGTGTGTATACTTGTCTGCCATATTTAGTGTTGTTTGGTTTAGCGATTTAAGAGAAGTTTGCAAAACACTAAATGAGTAAACTTTGCTTTGCTGAAATCTTGCCTTTTGTGTTGTCGTTGTTGTTGTTGCTAGTTGGCAACGTGGAGAGTGTGCGTAAATCTCTCTAGAGGTTTTAGAGAAAACTTTGCACTCATCATTCTCATAGTGAAGTTGTGTGGACCGGTCGGTCCACAACCGTAGTTTTTCACTCCTCAGGTTGAAGAGGTTTTTCCACGTTAAATCTTGTGTCACAGGTATATGTTGCTTGTTTTATTCCTTTGCTTACTTGTTGGTTGAACTTAAAGTTCATCACAAGTGGAGGGGACTGTGTAGTGTGCATACTTGCCGTGTCAGTGAATTTGTGCAGCACATTGTTGTTGTCCAGCCCCAACACGAGTAAGGCTAGCAAGACTGGCAATCTTACTAGTTTTCTTGGAGGCAAAGGCAGTTTTGTATTTGTGATATCATTGGCCACTTAGCAAACTCACTGGTTCGATAAACTTTAAGATCATCCACTTTAAGAGAAATTGTTGCTTTCTACAAACCCTTGCATTTGGGGTCCAGCACTTTTCTAGCTGAGAGGAAACAATCCTCCGACTCTTTCTTTGACCGACAATATTCGACCAACATTGGTGTTGTCGAGGGAGTCTTATGAGGTCATGTCTCCCTCGAATCTATCTTATCGGATCTGGAGTTGTCTTCCATCCCTTTTCACCGTCTCCTTCGGGGCGGTTATATGTTTCCAGAGCATTGTTGTCAACATTTTTTGGCTCTGACCGGTGAGTTCCAGACTCCTACGTCAACAATTTTTTTCCCAGTTGCGATGGTGTTTTGGAGGTTTAGAGATGGCACCGAGCTTCACTCACGACACGTTATCGATGAGTGCGAGAGCAGGAAGAAGACACCGTTAATTCACTAAAGAAGGTTGTGGAGTTTCAGGTTTTTATATGAATGGCCTTGTAGGGCTGATCGACTTTAATATGCATTTTTGCCTTTCAAAAAAAAATCACCTACTGTCTTTCGAAAGGAAACAACGCAACCAAAAAATCACACCAGTCAACAGCCCTAAAAAATAACACTAACACAGCACAATAATCACAAACTGTGCACTAATAACAAATCATCCACTGTTTGTGAAGAAGAATAGTATACGAACATTTCAAGCAAAGCATGGGTCGGAGAAAAATTAAACGCGAAGGATCCAATTTTGTTCGTGCAGCGCAGCGGACGGTGGTGACAGCGGGAGGGAGACCCACCCGACTCTCGCGCCCCTCCGCTTCATCCCCGGCCCTCCCCTCCTCCGCACCCGACCCGACCCGATCGATCCTCCCTCCCCCGCCGCCCTCCCAAGCCAGCGGCATTAACCAACCAACCGTAGGCACAGCGCGACCCGCAAGCGCACGGCGGGAAGGCGCGGCCGCGCGGAAGGGCGGAGGCGAGGCGCGCTCCGGCCGTTCCGCCGAAAATCCCCCCACCCCCATTCTGACATGATCGCCGCCGTCCAATAACCCGGCAGCCGCAGGAGGAGCGAGGCGCGGCGCGGCATTATGACCAACAACTTCTTGACCACCATACGGAGCCTCAAGCTGATCGAGGGGTGCAAGGCCGCGCAAATCTACCCCTTCAACTCCGCGGCCTCCACGTCCGGCGGCTCCGGGGATGGAGGGGGCGGGGCCAAGCTTCTCCCGCTGCCGCCGCCGCGCAGCGTCTCCCTGATGTCCGCGTCGCTCTGCTACCCGCACGCGCCCGCCACTTCGGGGGCCTTCTCTTCCGACTCGACCCTCCCCTGCGGCCTCCCGGCGGCCGCCGCGCTCGAGCCGGCGCTCGACGCGTGCCTTCGCCCCGTTGACCACGTCTCGGCGCTCGCGGCGTCGTTCCGGAGGATGTCGTCGGCCGAGAGGAAAGGCGACGACCTCTGCGATGTGTACCTGGAGCAGCACGCGCTGTTCCACGCGCTCGGGGACCCCCGGCTGCTGCGCCGAGCGCTCCGTGCCGCGCGCGTCCACGCCACCGACTCGCACCGCCGCGTCGTGCTCGCCGCCTGGCTTCGGCACGAGCGCCGGGAGGACGAGTTCGACCCGATGCCGCCGCCTCTCGATCCCTGCGGCCCGACGACCCCGCTCCTCGAGTGCCCCCGCTCCGCGGTCTTCGCCACGGAGTCCTCCGGCGTGGATCCCGTCTGCCCCTGCCGCCGCACTCCCCCTCCTCCCCCTCGCCCTCCGCGCTTGAGGCGCGACACAATCTTGAGGCGCAACGCATCGATCGCCTTCGATGAGAGCGAGGAAGATGATGATGATGAAGAGGATGAGACCAATGACTTGTGGTTCGTCATCGGCCAGGAGGAGGTGGCGTGCGAGCGTTCCTGCATCGCCGCGCTAGCGAAGCCGCTCAACACGCTCCTCTACGGCGGGTTCGCCGAGGCGCGCCGCGACCACATTGACTTCAGCCGCGACGGCATCTCGGCGCGTGGCATGCGCGCCGTCGCCGCCTACAGCCGACACGGCCGCCTCGACGACTTCCCTCCGGACACCATCCTCGAGCTCCTCGCCTTCGCCAACAAGTTCTGCTGCGATGGCCTCAAGGTCGCCTGCGACAACAAGCTCGCCTCCATGGTGCGCGGCGTGGACGAAGCCCTCTCCCTCATCGACCTCGGCCTCGAGGAGGCCGCCCATCTCCTCGTCGCCACCTGCCTCCAGGCCTTCCTGCGGGAGCTCCCCAAGTCGCTGTCCCACCCCGAGGTGGCGCGTCTGCTCTGCAGCCCGGAGGGCAGGGAGCGCCTGGACGCCGCCGGGAACGCGTCCTTCGCGCTCTACTACTTCCTCTCGTACGTCGCCATGGAGGAGGACATGAGGTCCAACACCACGGTGATGCTCCTGGAGCGGCTGTGGGAATGCGCAGAGTTGCCATGGCACAAACAGTTGGCACTGCACCAGCTCGGGTGCGTCATGCTGGAGCGCGGCGAGTTCAAGGACGCGCAGGAGTGGTTCGAGGAGGCTGTCGCGGAAGGCCATGTGTACTCGCTCGCCGGAGTAGCACGCGCCAAGTTCAAGTGCGGGCACAAGTACATGGCCTACAAGCTGATGAACAGGGTGGTCACGGACTACGATCCTGCCGGGTGGATGTACCAAGAACGCGCCGTCTACTGCGTGGGGAAGGAGAAGATGGCTGATCTCCGGACGGCGACGCAGCTCGACCCGACGCTGACTTACCCGTACAAGTACCGTGCCGCCTCCTTGCTGGAGGAGGACAAGATGGAGCGTGCGCTGGAAGAGATCGACAAGGTGCTCAGCTTCAGGATGGCGACCGACTGCCTCGAGCTCCGGGCGTGGTTCTACCTTGTGGCCGGGGACTTCGAGGCTGCCGTGCGGGATGTCAGGGCCATCTTGACGCTGGATCCGACCTACATGATGTTCCATGGTAAAATGCACGGGGAGCAGCTGATCGAGCTCCTCCGAGGGCAAGTGCAGCAGCGGGACATGGCGGATTGTTGGTTGCAGCTCTACGACCGGTGGTCAGGGGTGGACGACATCGGCTCTCTGGCAGTTGTCCAGCAGATGCTCGCCAGGGAACCCGGGAACAGCAGCTTGCGGTTCCGGCAGTCGCTACTCCTGTTAAGGTGAGCAGTGCATCCAACTTGTGAATTGCTAATTTTCTCCACAAGTTTACATTGTCTTAATTTGAGCAAGAACATCCCATCAAGTCCTTTCATTCCATAATTACTTGTATCAAGTTTATGCTGTCTAGATCTTCATACCCTACTGCTTTATTTTACACATAAGAGCAGGAATTTTAGTCGACTTAGAAACAAATTCACAAAAACGACAACAGTTTCTAGATCTTCATACTATCTAGTATACGAGTATACGAGTAGTATCTGCCTATCTTGGAGTAGTTTTCAAAGTTCATAAGCTTAACATATTTTTCTGTTTTCCACATGCATTGTAGGCTTAATTGTCAGAAGGCTGCTATGCGTAGTTTGCGATTAGCACGGAATAGTTCGATGCATGACCACGAGAGACTTGTATATGAAGGATGGATCTTATACGACACTGGGCATCGCGATGAAGCACTTGAGAAGGCCGAGCAATCACTCAGTCTCCAAAGATCATTCGAAGCATTCTTCCTAAAGGCTTATGCTCTCGGAGACTCTAGCCTTGACGTCGAATCTGCGCTTTCTGTTGTTCAGCTTCTAGAGCATGCTAACAGTTGTGCATCTGACAACCTACGGAAGGGGCAAGTAAGAACCATCCATCATCGCTTCTCATTTTCCATGACAAGTGTTCATCATTTGTGCTAATAGCTGTTTGACATCCTCCAGGCATACAACAATATGGGGAGCATATATGTGGATTGTGATTTGCTGGATGAGGCAACTGAGTGCTACAGCATAGCACTGAGCATCAAGCACACACGGGCACACCAGGGTCTGGCTCGGGTCCATTTCTTGAAGAATAGGAAGAAGGCTGCATTTGATGAGATGACATCGCTCCTAAAGATTGCCAAAAACAGCGCTTCGGCGTATGAGAAACGGTCGGAATATGCCGAGCGGGACGCTGCGAAAAGTGATCTCAATATGGCGACGTTGTTGGATCCAACCAGGACCTACCCTTACAGATACAGAGCAGCTGGTGAGTCCACTGCACTGAACATATGATGGCTGGCACTATGAATCTTCTTGATGGCTTTGCATTATTCTAATGTGCACAAACTTTACAGCAGTGTCAGCTTTCAACACAAAATGCTAAACAATTTTTTGAAGCCTTGCATTCTGTTAAGTTTAGAACAATGCGCGGAATTCATAGCTATCCATGTATCTTAAGGTTTCATTAATGTCTGGAGACGATAGTGAATTGTTAAAAAAGTTCATAGCTATTTTTTCCGATAGAGAGAAGTTCAGAGCTAAAGTCTGAAGAGTTTTTCAATGGCTTGATGATAACATGTTTGCTGTGATCCCCAGTTCTGATGGACGAAAACAAGGAGGAGGAGGCGATCGGGGAGCTGACTCAGGCGCTGGCTTTCAAGCCGGACCTCCAGCTGCTCCACCTCCGCGCGGCCTTCCAGGACTCGATGGGCGACAGCGCGAGCACCCTGCGCGACTGCGAGGCGGCCCTGTGCATGCACCCGCAGCACGGAGACACCCTGGAGCTCTACAACAAGGCTTCCTCCAAGGCTGATCATCAATCCGAGAGCTAGCTGGGTCTATCCTGCGCGTGCGACCACCATCGTCGATGATCAGCTAGCTGAATGATGAAGCGATTTTGGCCCTTCCACAGCAAGGAGAGAAAAATGTAGAGCGAGGCGGGCAGAAGAGAGCACGGACGGACCGATGAGTGTAAGCGAAGCATACGATGCAATGCAACGGCGAGGCGAAGGTCGGTCGAGCTCTGCGTGTAACGTACAGGAGGTTGATGAGAGAGCTTGGTTGCTGTAACAAAAATGTAAGAATAGCAAAGCGTGTAAATGGCAAAATGGCATCATTTTTCGTATGTACTGTATACGTCAGCAAGACTAGGGGCTCCAGGGAACTATGTTGGTCTGATGAGAGCTGAATGAAAAAAGAGGAAGAGGGCTGCGACACAACAGAACAGAACAGGCTGCCCTTTAATCAGAGCAGCCGGCAAGGCAGGCTCATGCTTTCTCATTCTTTTTCCTCCTATTTTCTTAATGTTTTATTTATATATTTGCCTTGCCTGTTGGTGGCGTGTTATTCGGAGGCACGATCTGTGCATAAAGAGTTGTGCTTTTCCACGACCCAGCCTATACGATTTGCTTGGTTGGTTGTCGCTGGCCACTGCGTCTGCGTGCTCCCCACCCAGCTCAGGCCACCCATCTGTTCCATTCCATTCCCAAAGAGACAGTTTTCTGGCTTTTCTTATTCTGCTACCCAGCCCAGGCCAGGCACCCGGTTTTCGTCTTCATAAAAACCACGACCATCAACTGTTTTTGCTCCATTCCTTCTCTTCTCAACATATTTGTCAAGCTTGTTTTTACTCCACTGTAAGTCATCAATCACATGTCGCCGCTGCCCGCTGGGTAGAGACTACTCCTTTGTCATTGATTTGGGCCGCAACAATCCGTCAATCCCGTAAAATTTGCCCGCAAAACTCTTTGGGCCCGGTTGATTGCAAAAAAGAAGAAGAGTGATTTAGGCCCGGCAGCAGCAAGCAGAGGAGTCGCCACTCTCCAGGCTGTGTCTCAGCGACTGCATTTCAGCTTATTTAGTCCCACACTGCTAGGCGCTAGAGACTTGTCCCACCTGGCCTCTTTAAAACAGCTCCCGGTGCCAGCATTAGAGAGCACGCAGCTGCGTGGTGAGCACATAGCGAACTATTCTTTCGCCTTTTACTAAAGAATACCGTGGGCTCGCCGCACCAGGCAGCATACACCAATTTTTTGAGGGTTCCTTCTCCCTGTGAGAAGGTCCTACAATGTGGGTCCCAAATGTTTAAACTGTTGCGTTTCAATACATACATGCTCCAAATTGGTACTCCTACTAGCATTTTCATTGAGAGTTCGTAAGTTTTTTCTGTTACCATGCGTGCCTCCAGACTCCAGTTAACTGTTATTCTTCCTTTTGTTTGGGTCTGGACAGCATGGCTCACGCTTGAAATTGGGCTTCATGGGCTTTGCGTACGATTATTTGCAATCCTGAAGCAAACTTCAAACACCCTCTGCCTGACTACCAATTCAACAAGCAAGATCAGCAGCAGCAGCAACCAAACAAATACAGTAGTACAAACCAAACAACTTTTTTTCAGTAACAACTTCAGGTGTCAGAAGAAGACATGATCTCAAGCTCAGCCCACCACAGTGGCGACACCTTGGGGGTGGCCCTGTCGGGCCCCAGCGCCGTGACCTCCCGCAGCCGGGCCGCCACCTCCGCCATCGTCGGCCTCCTCTTCGGGTCCGGGTCGACGCAGGACCTCGCCACCTCGCACAGCGCGCGCGCGGCCTCCTCGGAGAAGGAGGAGCCGATGCTGGGGTCGATCAGCTCCGCCAGCCGCACCTCGCCGTCCAGGTAGCGGGACGCCCACCGCTCCAGCGGCCCGTCCTCGTCGGAGCAGGCCACCCTCCCCGTCAGTATCTCCAGCAGCACCACGCCGTATCTCTGCACCGCGGTTTCCAGGTCTGATGTGGCTGAACGAGGTGATGATCCCTTTGCGCCGTCGTCTGGGAATTCGAGGTCTGAGACCTTGGCGGCGAAATCGTCGGTGAGGTATATGGTCGTCGAGTCCAAGCTCCTCGGCACCACGGGTGGGTTCAGCTGGTGCATGTGCTCCAGGCAGTAGGCGATCCCCATGCATATCCTCAGCCGCGTCACCCAGTCCAGCTTCTCGGCTTCTCTCACTGCAACATGGATTGACGAGGATGAGACATTGTCAAAATATAATGTTGATACACCGCCCGACTGACTGACTGACAGTTAAGAAGTACTAATAGGAACAAACTAGCTATCTCTTTTGTAATAGATACAGTACAACTTATGTAGTTGATGGCCGGGGGTTCGACCTCCATTTTGAAAAAAGAAACTGATGTAGTTGATGCACACATACTCCTATCTTCTGAACTAACAAGAGGTGCTTGATTTTCGAGAGATCAAATTCAGTTAAGACAAGAGGTGCATGTAGCTCCGTTTGCGCAGGGTCCGGGGAAGGTCCTATCACTTTGGGTCTACTGTACGCAGTTTTTCTCTACATTTCTGCAAGAGACTCTTTCCATGACTTGAACCCGTGACCTCATGGTCACAAGGCAGCAGCTTTACCACTGCACCAAGCAGTGGCGATTCCACTAGGGAGGCTTCAATAGGCTTAAGCCTACCCTCCAAAATCATATTTAAGCTAAACATACCACTTGACAAATATATTCTGGTGCTTTACATGCAACAATTGCACTGCATTTGCTAATTAGACTTAGGAAATTTATGTTTTAAGCCTACCCTCCAATGTCCTGCTAGATTCGCCACTGGCGCCAAGGCTCCCCTTCGAAGAAACCAAATTATGCCCCTAAGATAAGTAGCAAATTCTGAGCCATATGAGGCAGGAAACTCTCAAGTACGGTTCTAGGGGAAGGAGATCTAAAAAGTTATTTAGAAATCGCGGAAGCTTTGTTAAATTTGAGTTGTTCAATAATGTGAGAAATTATATGAAGCACATCACTGGTTAAAGATTGCCAGGCGCTTTGACTTTGAATAAGACCACACTCCTTTTTATCTTTCTTCTCCTCTTTTTAGGAAATGGTATCTCTTTATTCTCCCTTTTATTTTATTTTATATGATACTCCTAATTCATAAGGGAAACATAGGGATCCTTATCAGTTAGAATCTGCTTGCTGAACAGGTACGCATAGTTCATTTGTCAGAGAAACTTTTATGTAAGATTTTGCGGGATCATGATTTACACCGTTGTTAACAAATGTTCACATAAAAGAATTTCTGTAGTTACAGGGTGAAGAGAACAGATATGTGAAAAGGGGGGAAAATATATAATCATGGTAAGAAACTAAGAATACACTTACCATGCAGATACTCAAAAAGCGTCCCATTCGGAGCGTATTCAAATACCATGGCTCTGGTAAAAGGATGCGCTTCCTCACAGTAGCCAAGCAAGTTCATAAAATTCCTGTGGTTTACTTTGGACAAAGTTGTGATCTGAAAACATAACCATTGGAATCAAACATAAAAGCTAAACAGTGTACATTTATACAAGCGGCAGGAAACTTAACAGTACCTTTTTCCTGTACTGTGATTCACATTCTTTGGTCCAATCCTTTGCAGACGTTACCAAACTCGACGCAACTGCAATTTCAACTCCACTCGATAAAGTTCCCTTGTACATCATGCAGCTAGATGTGGAGCCGATTATATTGCTGAAATCCTCGCTCGCTGATTCCAGCTCTGATCGTTTCAGTGCAGGTACACCTATAAATACACGATTAAATTGTGATGTGACATCAGAACAAACTCCTAGGTACACACATGTTAAAGTACAAACAAAGCATACCTGTTACAAAAGCTTTTTGCAATTGTCCGCTAAGTCCTGTCACCCAAGGTTTCACAGTCCCCACCTTTTTAGCTCGGCAGTACAGAGCACCAGATGCTGATATGATAAGGAAAGCAGCAACCCCTGCTGCAACTAAACCATAGGTTGTCCAGGAATGCTTATGAGATGGAGTTTGAACCGAATGATCATGCCCAGCTCCCCCAGCTGCGGGCTTAAACTTAAGCGGATGTGGAAGGACTATTGGTGGATCATGGCGTAAAGGGGATCGCTGTGGCGTCGGTCGTGAATAAAATGGTGATGGTGCACCTTCTGGTGGTGATGATATGAATTCTGAGGGTGATGGAGCAGACACTGGTCCTGATGTTGGAGCTTGTACATGTGAGAAAAGATACCCGGCACCTTGGTTTTCACCACCAATCTGCAGCATTCTTCTGAAAGTCCAAGAAAACAAATAGTTAAGACTTGGGGGATGTATTATCAAGATAAATATTTGCCATTTCTGATGATGGAAGTACAAAAACCACCTGCCCTTGATTCGTTTACTACCATATCCATACGATCATTTATATAATAAGAGATATACTGCAATACCGTATTTATCTTAAAAATACTTAAATAGTTAATCGAAATTCAGTGAGAAAAAAAGCTCTCACTCAACAACCTAGTGGCACTTTCTTTCAAAAAAAAAAAAAAAACTAGTGGCACATCTCTGATCTCTCCGTGACTACAATCCAAGGCTTTCTAAAATAACCACAGGCACCATTCATGTAAATGCTAAAAAGTTGCTACTACTGCAGAACTTCACCCAGCAAACTGTCTCTGTGGATAAACATGCAAAGAGAAGCGCAGCAAAAAGTTTTTTATTAAGAAAATAATCACTAGGGAACCAGATCACCAGTGCTTATATGCATATAGCTAATGTCAGTTTAGTTCAGAGCTCAAGAGATGATGGTTCCAACCAAACTGGTAAATTACTAAATTTGTGGCATTTGTTGCCCATTAATGGTAAATAGGCCAATACTAAAAACACCTGTTGTCTAGTTCCAATCTAAAAAAAAAATCACAAACTCTGGATAGCAAAATCACATCGATCCATTTCCTGCAAGCACCAAAAAAAGAATCAGTTCCAGAATCTGAGAGCTCGCCTACGACTAAAAGAAGCTCCATTGCTGCTCAACTCCTCAGCTCCAACTCCAAAGCCCCCAATCCCTGCAGCAAGCAACGCCGTAAGCCCAAATGCATACCCCAACAACTCGGAGGAATCCAAAGCTCGAGCAAAAGAGAACTAAACCTGCTCCTCCTCCAAGCCGCCAAGAGAAGGCAAGCAGGAACAGAAGAAGGAGCCTGTGGGGCGGCGGCCATTCCATCGCTTAACCGCTGCACGGGCCGAGAAAATAGCAGTGGAGGCGCAGTGGCTGGCGTCGGAGGGGAGGAAATCTGATCCGGAAGGTGGATGGCGGCGGTCACAGGAGGCGGGATGCCGGAGGAGAGACGGCACGTGGTGTGGTTGGCAAGAGGGCGGTGGAGGCGGCGAAAGTGGCAGCCGAAGGTGGTGGAGAGGAGAGGGAAAGGGAGGCTGCACGAAGGCGACCACACAACAAGAAGCTTTTAGTTGGTTCTTTTTTTCTTCCGTTTTAAAATTGTTTGGTTCGTTGATCCAATCATCCTCCACATGTATGGATTGCAAGTTAATGCAGCTTGCTCATCATTGTGGAACCAACTTCCTAGATTTTTCTTCCTCTTCATTTCGGGGTATAATCGTTCGTCCTCAACAACTTTGGCCGTTATTTTTTCACATGGATGTGATACAAGAAACATATGAGTGCATTTTTGTAAAATTGTGGTCCTATTAAATACTCCCTCCGTCCTAAAATTCTTGTCTTACATTCGTCTAGATACGGATGTATTTAATACTAAAACGTGACTTGATATATCCGTATTTTGATAAATCTAAGACAAGAATTTTAGAATGGAGGGAGTATATCGTTATTCTAAAACTAGTTATGATAATTTTAAACGTCGAATACTTATTGATAGTGTATGGGTGTGATTTTGACTGCACCGATTCCCAAAAAGTCTATGCATGGTAAGCATGGGATACTTAGGGCCTGTTTGATTACAAATAAGTCATCAACTTATAAGTCAAAAAATGAAAAAAGTGACCTATTTTGCCAAACAGACTCAACTTATAAGTCACCCCAACTTAAAACTTATAAGCCAACCCCTTTTTGCGTGGGTCCCACCACCTTTATATAAAAAAATAAGGTGGGAAGGTGTGGTTAGGTGACTTATAAGTCAGGTGACAACCAAACAGACGTGACTTATAAGTCGCTGGTTTAAGTCACCTGACTTATAAGTCAGGTGACTTATTGGAACCAAACATGCCTTTATTGCAAAAAGATGTATCGTATAAAATATATACTTTCAAAATGTCTGTGCATGGTAAGCATTGCTCACAAGTGAATCTCACTGTTGAACTGTTGTGAGATTCCCGACAATGGTCCTCGTTTCGTGTACTTTATATATACTTTCAAAATGTCTGTGCATGGTAAGCATTGCTCACAAGTGAATCTCACTGTTGAACTGTTGTGAGATTCCCGACAATGGTCCTCGTTTCGTGTACTTTTCCACTTTGAAGAACTACAAATATAACAATATTTACAAGAGATGATGTTTTCGGAAGCAAAACAAATAAAAGAAAGGCACCATAGCTATTGAATACGGACTGCTCCCCTTTTAAGGGAAGTGGCGGAGCTTTAACACGATTTGAGAGGGGGGATGAGTCTTAAAAGAGTTGAGAGCTAGTGTAGTGTATTATGTCAAATTTGGTCCAAATAGTGCTAAATATTATATTTTTATGTGAGGGCATCTGCGAAGGAGACCCTCAAAGCTCATGTATATGCCGGACCAATTTTGTGATCCAATGGGGACCCTTATTGGTCCGTGTTGCGGTCCGGACGTCCAGTTTCCTGCAAACCGGAAGCAGGGGGGTATGTGGGAGCCCGGACATCCACTTGACCAAGAAAAAGCAACCAAGTGGTCCTCCTCTCTTTTCTCTCCCCCTCTCTCTGTCCTCCCAACCGCACACCACTCACACATATCCAACCACATGAATGGTCTCAATCACCTCTCTCCCCTCCAAGGCAAACAAATGAGGGTTAATTTATGAAAAACGTTGGATGACTCCCTCCCGCGTCATGTTCGTGGACCACGTCTAGACCAGTCTGAGGACATTTACGGTGTCCATTTAGGGGTTTGCATTGGAGATGCCCCAAAGAAATGTATTTGGTTGGGGGGGGGGTAATGACCCCCCTTGGCCCTTACTAAGCTCTGCCACTGCCTAAGGCTAAGTTGTTTGAGTCCTTAAAGGCAATAAAGACTATCTCCCTCTATCTTGGCCTCTTATGTAGACAATCCTGATTTGCTCACACGCAGAAGGATATTTATGGGTCGTTTATCTTGCTCCTTACATCGTAGCGAGGGCGTCTTATCTCTTATCTGTTAATGGTGACCAGACTTGGAAGGTAAAGTAGCCCCCAAAACACATCTACATTATAATATGTAGTCATTACAAAGGTGATTGGGTGTTCACATGTTTGCACACATGTCGAAAAAAGGCTTGTCAGGCTGCCTACTACCATAAATCCGGATGTGCAATTTTAGGAAGGAGATCAAATGTGACATTTTGGGCTTAGCATGTACTAGAATGGTATTTTGTTGGGTCAACATTCATGCTCCAGCTACTTCATCCAATGTACCTAACAATTTCACCCATCAGTCTGAACCGATGGACCGAGCGTGCAATATATTTCAACATTCTCCCTCAAATCTAGGTTTCTTTAGTATCTGGACAAGGAATCGATGTAGGCTGTAAATAATTTTTTTAATAATGTGTTGGCAGGATTTTGAAATCAAAACCTCTTGGCTCTGATACCATATTGAATTCATGCACCAACTACTTACTCCAAAAATCTGAATTGTGAGGGAGGGTTGGAAATTATGCTCCAACACCTTGCTGCAAAGTGCCACTCCCCCCTTCCAAATACGATGTCAAAACATTGGCGTATTAAATCCCCATTCAATTGCAATGATGGTAGAAGCATATATACTAAGGGTAGTTTTGACCCGACCCTACGTATTTGGGGTTGCTCTAGTTGAACTATGGCATCATCGATGCAACACATACCTAACCACTAGATGTCAAAAAAGTAAAAAAGAAGGCCTAGACCTATATTTTTCTTCGGCTTGTAGATAGTCTTGTAGTTGACAAAGAAGTATTCACGCTAGTGTGATCTTCATTATCTCTTTTCCGGACAAGCCCTCTTAAGATTCCATAGGCATTCATCATGGAATTATGGCGCTTCTCGTGTGTGATAGATTTTTCTCCTCCTAGTTTTGGTTGAAATTAAATTTCCAAAGACAATGGTAGTGCAGTGACAAAGGTAAAGCTACAATACCCTCATACGCTGGAATTTTGTCTATTTTGGGCCTAGCCCAATAGCAGTTTCAGAAATTTCTAATAAATCATAGAGGCCCACTTAGCCCATTTGTGCAAGGCAAGGGATACTGCTAAAGTTTAGTCCCACATTGCTAGTTGAGTGGGAGTTGGACCTCCTTATAAGGGAGGTTCTTTTCCCACTTGTATGAGCATGAGAACAAGAGGGACATCCACGCGCCCTCCTCCTCCGCTGGCCGCCACGCCACGCCGCGCCGCGCCGCGGGTTGCGGGAATGAGCCGAGCCGATGTCTAAATTTTTGCCACGCACTACGGGTATACCTGAACTCCACTTTCGCAAAAATATTTTTGCGAAAGTGGAGTTCGAATGCGAACGGTGCAGCTCGTCGGCTGCTGGCTGTTCGCTTCATCTCCATCTCTTCGTTTCGCCTCCCGTCGCCGCCCTCTCGCCTCCTTCTCTTGCGCCTATAAAAGGGAGGTCGCTCCTCCCAGAGAAGATGCACCAGAACCTCTTCCTCCTCTCGCCACAAATTCCTGAGCACTGCATTGCTGCTACGATCTTCCCCATCCTGGCTTGCGGCGTGCACCGCAGGTCGGGACAGTAGGCCTTCGAAACCGCACCTCTTTGAGTCCTGTACGGGAGAAGGGTGATAAGGTTTTTGGGGAGCGCTCAATGCGACTATTGGCTGCTTCATCACGGATGATCCGGTCGCCGACGACTTCTTCCCCGATGTCCACGACCTCCTCGACGACATGGCAGGCGAGGACACCGACCCCAAATCCAGCACTTCTGCTGTTGTTGTCCCGTACGTGTTCTTCTCCTTTCTATTAGAGGTCCTGCTACAGTTCCTTGTTCTAGTATTTGCACTAGATATGTTAGACTCTATAGTATTTGCCCTAGATATGTTAGACTCTATTTCATATATGCAACTTGCTATACTGTCTGCTCTAGATATGTTTAGTTACAGTTCATATATGAAGATGATGTTTACCTTCTCTTTGTCAAATCGCATGGCTTGTTTTATCACTACTATACTGGTCATGCTTTATCTAGTATTTCTGTTAATAAAATCATTCGATAAATTGCTCATATTTCCAACAATCCAAAAACCTTATTATAGGCAATTTACCCCGAGTGGTTTTGCTGCTTCCATGAGACCTCCTATGTTTGAGGGTATCCACTATAAGAGGTGGCGCGTGAGAGTAGTCTTATGGTTTCAAACCATGAGTTGCTATGACGCCACTCTTGGCAAACCTGAAGGAGAGCTTGATGCTCAACAGGCACAAGCCTTTCAGAAAATGGATACTCTGTTTAAGGCTGCTCTCTTGAGTGTTCTTGGTGAGAACATAGTTGATGCTTATGCGTAAATTGATAATGGAAAAGATATGTGGGATGCACTCGAGGCCAAGTTTGGGGTCTCGGATGCGGGCACTGAGCTGTACATCATGTAGCAATTCTATGATTACAGGATGATTGAAGAGCGCTCCGTGGTTGAGCAAGCTCATGAGATACAATCATTTGCTAGAGAACTTGAGCACTTCGGTTGTATGCTACCGGACAAGTTTGTTGCCAGAGGTATCATCACTAAGCTTCCTCCTTCATGGAGGAACTTTGCTACCTTGCTGAAGCATAAGAGGCAGGAGTTTTCCGTCCCGGATCTCATTGGCACTCTTGATGTGGAAGAAAAGGCGAGAGCAAAGGACACACGTGCTCGAGGTATTGAGGGAGGATCTAGTGCCAATGTGGTACAGAAGCAGAACTTCCAACCCCACAAGTTTAAGAACAAGAGTAAGTTTGATGGTAAAGTAAAGTTTGATGGGAAGAACAAGGTTGTCCAGCACAAGAACTTCAAGAAGAAGAATGACAAGAAGAAAGGTATCTGTCATGTGTGTGGGAATCCTGATCATTGG